TTGGAAGAAACTTGCTAGCCGTAAGACCAGAGAATGTAAATATCATCCAAAGGAGCAAAACTGTGAGAGAGAAGCATACACCACAGCCCGTCCCTTAATCACAGACAGCATTTGACTATTGTTAGAGATAGTCAAAGGGAAGACTGTTGAAGGCTCCTTAACCATGTAAATCTCATAATTTTTCCTACCCGCTAAGCGAGTACGCTTTTTCTGTTCACGCGACAGAACTGTTTATCGCCTTTTTTTATATTTATAATTTTTCCGTTGTGATAAATTATAATTGGTTATTTTTATGGAAAGAGGACAACTAAACCTAACCTAACCCAACCTAACTGAACCTAACCTAATCTAACACAACCTAACTGAACCTAACCTAACTTAACCGAGAAATTTCTTGAAAGCGTTTGTGAGAAAAGCCTTATATATTTTTATGCGAGTTACGAGGAGGGGTTTTAGACCAATACAGTAGAAGGAAAGAAGTAGAACAGTTCAAAAATATTTTATTTATAGGTTAACAAGTTTTCTTTATCTTATTCGTCAATTATGATGACAAGTAAGATCAAGTAGTTAACTCTCCTTTCAACTTTAACGAAGCCTTCCGAATTATTTTTGCCACCTTCCGTCATGTTGAGACAAGTGTGTGTTGTCCTGCTTCGGTTGAAACATTTGCTTCTGGCGTCAAATCGTCTGAACTGTGACACTCTGGACACTCTCCTCCATAAATTATGAAATGTACTGCAAAGGGTTTTTCAGCTAGTTTATTTTTAATTATAACCGGGCACATCATCATTGTGCCATAATTTTATTCTGTATAATCGTTTTAGTGTGGAAACAATATTTAGCAGGCGAATTAAAAATGAGTGGGTGGTATTCTAAGGGTAGTGCTATCATTGGCTCCTCTGGTTTCACAATGGAGTTGCTTTAAAATTAAATTAAGTAAATTCTCTCTACTTCCAGTCATCGTAGATACATTTACACTCTTATCACCTTTCAACGCTAGGGTCCTCTCGTTGAGAAAATACACAACTGGTCGTCACCACTTCCTGGTTGCCTGGCGATCCACGCCTCCCATAAACATACGAAGTACAGTGACACTACCGTCACACTCACACAGATTTAAGAAAATATAATAGCTTCACAGGGTCACGCTCACACCTATTAATTATTTAACAAATAAAAGGAGTACATCCAGGCTGGGTAAAGAATACCCTGGGCGTTACCCGTAATTCCCGGGCTGGCTACAATTGTGTGTTGATACAACACTGGGTTCAGGGTGTGGGACTACCATGAGAATAGTTGTTTATATGACAGACCTGTCTGGGCTTGGAATATTCACATCTGTTTAACAGGCTTGTAAGGGTGATAGTTCTGATGAGACGGACGATAGCTATGTATCTTCTATGTGTGAGGTAAACCTATGGCACTGTTATCATCGTTGATACAAGCTCCTTTGTATCACTCTTTTATCACAATGTGTACATCCCGTGCGGTATCGTCAAGGCCTATTTGTACATTCTTTGGTGTATCCTAACTGCGCTCTCTTCAAGTCGTATAAAATACATTTTTGTAAATCTTTCCTTAAGGGGCGAGTTTATAAAGCAACACCCCGGAGCAAATATACAGTTGATGCATCATTGGTGATATCAGTTACACCCTTAGGGGTCGGCCTAGGAAAGGTTGGAGGGGGTAAAGGAGGTTTCGTGTGCGAGGGGCTTAGACTTCCAGCAAGTATGCGTGAGCGTTTTAGATACGAGTGAATGGAGACGAGTGGTTTTTAGGACATGAAGTGCTGCTGGAGTGTGAGCAAGGTAACATTTATGAAGTGATTCAGGGAGACCGGCAGGCCGGACTTGAGTCCTAGAGATGGGAAGTACTGCGCCGGCACTCTGGAGGGGGTGTTAATGTTGCAGTTTTATAACGGTATTGCAAGACAATGATGGAGTGAATGATTATATATATATATATATATATAATATATATATATATATATATATATATATATAATATATATATATATATACAAGGAATTCGCAAGAGCAGGCGAAATATACACAAACACTGATCTCTGGCTGAAGGAGACTCGAACTTATGAACCTTGGAACAAGGTACGCAGTGCATTACCATTTTCACCACACTGAACCAATACCTTGGCGCCCAGCTTGCGCTAGACTTTGATCCAAGGCAGCCAACTTTCAGGGAGAAGGCTTACATCCTTTTATCTCATCCCCTGCATGCATCAGCCTTACTAGAGATTTTAACAATGCAAGGAATTCGTCCAGTGTGGTGAGAATGGTGATGCACTGCGTACATTGTTCCAAGGTTCGTAGGTTCGAGTCTCCTTCAGCCAGAGATCAGTGTTTATATATATACATACATATATATATGTATATATATATATATATATATATATATATATATATATATATATATATATATATATATATATATATATATATATATAAATATACATATATATATATATATATATATATATATATATATATATATATATATATATATATGGGAGAACCTTGAGCTTTCCCTGAGGTACGTTTATTGTCTTCTCTGATGATGAGGGTCCCCATTCCAGCTATAGAGGTGGTACTTCCCTATATATTGAGAAATATATTATATATATATATATATATATATATATATATATATATATATTATATATATATATATATATATATATATATATATATATATATATATGCGTGTGTGTGTGTATTATGTTCTCGTCTTGCTTCTGACAGTACTGGGTCTCGGTCTCGGTTCAGAGATTTATTGCTGTATGCTTTAGTATCTTTGGTGGTTCAGGAGACTCAGAAAAATAACTTCCCTTTTCCTTCCGGCTTCAGGATGTGGAGTTTTATTGGCATCTGGGTGCGGAACAAACGGACACTTATGCAAAGGATGTTGAATTGATTGTGCTGTATTGTATCCTTCAGCTTCGTTTTGTCCCATAGAACTATATTCATCAGTTCGTCCTTGGGATGAGGCCGGCCCTGTTAGTAAGCTGTTTATTCGTCTCTCATATATCATAGTTCAGCAGTCATCATTACAGTATGATTACGGAGGGGGTTTCATCATCTTACTCACGACCATCTATCTATCTTTACAGCTTGTGGAATCCTACCGATTCCCATTCTTATCCTGCCTTTAAAATTGCTCAATCCATATTCTCTGAATTATCATGCCCCTTATATGTGGTTATTTTTGTGGCTGTTATAATTGGTACTATGGTAACATGACTCAGGAAATCGTAATGACACGATTGCAAACAAACCATACCACGATAACGCGACGGTCTGGAGTTTTGAGACTCTCTGACCGCGGGTTCAATCCCGCCCGTGGTATGGTTTGGTACTATGGTAGTTTTGGTTATCTGTGTTTTGGTTGGGATTACTTGGTGTGTGTTTGTATTCATTAGTTCTCAAGGTTTAATAAAAAATATTAGGCTAAAGTTCACTAAATGAGTATGTTTTTGGGTAGTTATATTCTTGAAATATTTATAATTCTAAGTATTTTACATTAGCTTTTTGTAGGTCTCGAATGTTTTAAATAACCGATGTTTTTCCATCACAGAAGTGCCCCACTTTACAGCGCTTCTCTTCACGGCGTTTTGCTAATGCAGCATATTTCAACTATACCCATTCTTCATTTATTCAGACTTCCTACAGTAAATATATGGGAAGTCCTCATTTAACGTCGTCGAAACGTTCTTTGAAACTGCGACTTTAAGCGAAACGACGAATAATAAAAGAAATTTTGCCATAGGCTAATTGATATAAACAAAAATTAAGTTGCTATGGCAAGGGAGAGCTGTAAGAGTGAGCAGTGGTGCTGCAGACGCCATGACTATGGAGTATGTTCCTCTGGGGCCCTATAAAGTCGTATATTTACTCTATTACTACAGTTTCATTTTTTAACGTATTACGTATTTTTCAGAATTATATCAGAAACACGCTACATATCATAAAAATCGAATACAGACAGCCATACTGGAGGAAATTGACATAAGCGAACAGAGTTACGCCGACGCGTGTCCTCCATCCACATATTTAAAAGTCTTTCCATATTTTTCCATTCCTGGCCAGGGAATGAATTCCTTTTTCTCATCAACATTATAACGAAACAACGTTGAACGAAACAATGTTAAGTGAAGACTTCTTGTATTCATCACTTACTATAAGCTAAGGACAAAAATATTTTAAGGTATTATGTGCACTGTATATGCATTTTTTGGGCCTATCTCTATTGCTCATTTAATATATTATAGTGTAAACATAGTATCAGGATTTACATGCTTTTGAAAGTGAAAAAAGACAAGAGTCATTTTACAGCCTGCTGTATAAGCGGGGCCCTGCTGTATATAGTGCAAGTGGGAGGCATAGAAGATGGGAGAGAGAAACTGACAGACACAGACAGACAGACGAAGGCAGAGACAGAGAGAGAGTAAGAGATTAAGAGACTCAGAGAGATTCGAAGAGTCTGAGAGAGAGATTTGCTTTAATATATCATATAAAAAATGCCGTAAGATATACTGGGACTGGTGAACTGAGATACTTTCATCAATGGCTGTGATCGGAGCCTTTATTATTATTATTATTATTATTATTATTATTATTATTATTATTATTATTATTATTATTATTATTATTATTATTATTATTATATGAATAGTATTATTATTATTATGAGTAGTAGTAATAATAGTAGTAGCAGTAGCAGTAGCAGTAGTAATAGTAGTAATAGTAGTAGTAGTAATAATAGTAGTAGTAATAGTAGTAGCAGAAGCATTAGTGTTACTTATTATAAATATCTTACTGAATGTTCATTAATTATTGGATTAACTCTCATCTACACCCACATATCCCCAACCCGTAAATCAGCTACGCTGTCAACCGTTTAGGGGCCGCCTCCAAAAACCGATCACCACCCAATGGTAACACCACCCCCCTCCCCCCTTCCTCCCAGAGCCGCTACAGTATATTTACCCCCGAGCTGCTACTGTACCTTCACTCAGCAAGCGAAGATGACATCGTTCACAGTTGCTGTTGCAGTGCTTCTGCTGGTGTTCCATTCGGTGTTCGTCTCTACGCAGACGACCGCAAATTCATCGACAGGGACAACAGTCAACCAGATTTTCTGTTCTGGACAACAGAACAATACCCAAGACCCAACCCCCGTTACCTCGGAAAATTTAGGTAGAGTATTTGCGCTTCTTTTACTGGATTGAAAACGATATGACTAAATTAAGTCAAATAATGCACCATGGAAGTTAGGGGGAGATTTCCTTAATGCTGAAGAGGGGCTATTAATGTAAACAATTGGAGGTGTCTTCCTCTTTCTCGGATCAAACCTGATGGCATTCCATAACACAAGCTCTGTGTGTATCTTAAATGTTCCTCGCAGCCTCATGAACATAATAATGAAATCGAATGAGGAACTTACTGCAGAAATCTGTCCATTTTTCTGTTCATGAAATATTTGACATATATACTGGAAAAAGGGTGAATAATCGTAAAATTTTTGTTTATAACTCCTCCCATTTCATTGAGTTTATTCTTAAGTATTATAGATAAATATTATCAAATATCTTTATTCCAGAGAGTTATTTTTCATCTCTGTTGTCTCGTCTGCCTTAAAAGACGCTGTCAGTACAAAATATTCTAGATATATAAGAGGAAGTACTCTGATGAGTACAGACATTAGTGTGGCTTCACTTATCATGAAACATCTCATATTCTATTCTTTAATTTTCCAGATCTTAGATGCATTTAATTTATTGCATTCGTTCACGTAATTTGCATTCAAAATGACTAGTCATCTGATATCATTATTTTCATTTTTTTTCTTTTACCTGTTGTCTCTGTTCTGTGTTTTGTATCTTATGGTAGATTTAATTTATCGTTTTATTCGTTTCTGCCCATCTGGAATATGTCACGGTTGAAACATCAAGTTATTTTTTCATGTCCATTAAAAGAGTTTGTTGATATGTTTGTAACTTTGCATGTCTTTTTTTTTTTTGCCACAGCTCTTATGACTATTTTGATATTCTCCACAAAAGGTATGATGCTGTACTAAATGCTTTTGTTTACTGTTACTCCCAGAGATCTGTTAGAAATGTGAATACTGTGCCCAGTTCCCTAAAATGTCTGTTAAACTTTCCGACTTCACGCTATGACTCTTGATCACATTTACCGAATAATAATAGCCTTGAGGAAGAGCTAAAGTCATTGGGTTATACTTGCCTCTGGTAAATGGGAGGTAACAAGATTTGATTCGAGTAATGGCAAAATAACTATGTCCTTGGACGAAGAGCTCTTTACCTCTTGCAATGTCTCCTCTTTTGTCATAGTTTTGACCGTCCGATAAGCTGCTTTCGTACACCACAGAGATATTGACACTGATTTTGCAGTACGTAGCTTTAAAAAAACCTGGAAATATTTTATTTTTAGCATATGTTAGACGTTAGCTGGTACCATTTTGCTACATTAATGTTGAAAATGTATGGTTATATTTTGCATTATATAACTGGATTTTTCAGTCTTGAGGTAAGAAGCTCTTGATCCAAGAAATTACACTAGTCTACTCCTTGCATTGAATCTGAACACCTACCATTCTGCAGGCGCTATATGACCTCTCTGGGTTATATGATACAAATAAAACAGTTCTGAATAGCATCAAGCTTTAATAGCTGATGAACCATATGGAAGTAGTGAACCTGATTTTTTAAACCACTTAAACTGTGTAGGTTCAGATTTTGTTGGATTCTGTGTAATAACTGGAGAATATTTCTCATTGGCTTTAAAATTTTAGTGATGATGTGTTTCTTCAAAACAAGTTTTGCTTATATTAAATCCCTGCTAATTTTAAATACGTCAGTTTGATTAATCAAACTATTAATCTAAATCGCTAGTCAGTCTTAAAGAAAAAAAGATGATTTTAAAATATGTAGGTCCTAATTTGTCTTTTTTTTTATGGATGAAAAAGGTAAAACTTAATACTGATTTTAATGCGGTAATTTCTAAGTGCTGCATCAACCCTTCAAGGTTAATAACTCAATAATACAAGTTCTTAGCGATTTCATACTTAATGTGCTGATGTATTTTAGGATATTAGTGTCACTAAGATAACTAGATGAGGTCTCTTTAGTTTAGCTTCAGAGTTAATTTTTCTTAGCAGCAATTTACACAACTCTGAATGATTTACAGTTGTTTTACACTGTAGCATATATGCAAATTACCTAGGATAGCCGAAAAAAAAATCAAAGTGGCTTAATTTGAGTCTTTGTAATTCTTAACGTTTAACAACATAATTGTAAGTTGGAGTAAACATTCATCCTCTTTGTTAATCATAAAAACCAAATAAACTTGAATAATCATGCACATAAACTGAGTAAATCAAATATATAAAGAAAGAATTGCATGAGCTTTAAAGAGAAAATATCAGTTTAAATACACGTTTCATGAATATTAACTATACAAGTTATCACACTCTTCCTTTTCTCTGGCTTCACTCAGTTTGAAGATATTTAGTTCCTAAACTGGCTTATACTGAGACTTTCCTTGACACAGTCAGGCAACTAGACCCATTCTTATTGCTGTGTAGTAGCTGCTTCAGCTGTTTGTAGTTACTACATAACTGTGTTCACTTTCCCTAGTCTCATACTGGCGTTGGTTCACAGCCAGACATTCAGGACACTGATTGTGAACAATTTTCTCAATATGGTTTGGCTTCAGCTGTCTCACCCTACCTTCAGTAAGTGAAGGCAGGGTCAGACAGCTGAAGCTTGCAAAATTGTTCTAAATCAGCGTCCAGAATATCTTGTGGGGTGAATGAAGACTTGGTCAAGGCAAACTCCATAAGCAGTTTCAAGAATAGGTATGATAGATCCTAAGACAAACACTAATAATGTCAGTGACTGTAGTTAAAGAGACATTGCCAGGAGCTGAGTCTTATTCATGCAAACACACTTCGGTACACACACACACAAGAGAGAGAGAGGAGAGGATGAACCAGCAAGGCTGGACTTAGTATTCACCTTGAGTAGTGCAGATATCGAGGACATCACATATGAAAGACCCCTTGGGGCCAGTGACCATGTGGTTTTAAGCTTCGAATACACAGCAGAGCTACAAGTGGAGGGAGAAGCAGGAAGGCCAGGACGAATGAAGCCAAACTACAAGAATTCAAATTCAAATTCAAATTCAAAGTTTATTCTCTATAAGGATTACAATGCTGAGTTTACAGAAATTTGGTTATTGTTTGGTTTACATGTAGTAAAATTGTGATTACAGAGTGTACCACTAGAACGCTTAGCATGGCTAGGCATTTCGGGCATACTTAGTTTTATTCTTAATTGTAAAATATTACAAATTATGAGGTAAGTTGGTATTATGGCAAAGTGACTAAGAAAGGGGACTACACAGGAATGAGGAACTTCCTGAACGGGGTTCAGTGGGACAGAGAACTGGCAGGGAAGCAAGTTAATGAGATGATGGAATATGTAGCAACAAAATGCAAGGAGGCTGAGGAGAGGTTTGTACCCAAGGGTAACAGGAATAATGAAAAAGCCAGGATGAGCCCATGGTTTACCCAAAGGTGCAGGGAGGCAAAAACCAAGTGAGCTAGGGAATGGAAGAAATATAGAAGGCAAAGGACCAGGAGAAAAAAGGAGAGCAGTCGTAGAGCCAGGGAAACGAATATGCACAGATAAGAAGGGAGGCCCAAAGACAAAATGAAAAAAGACATAGCAGCGAAAGCCAAATCTGACCCGAAACTGTTTACAGCCACATCAGGAGGAAAACAACAGCAAGGACCAGGTAATCAGGCTAAGGAAGGAAGGAGGAGAGACAACAAGAAATGACCGTGAAGTATGTGAGGAACTCAACAAGAGATTTAAAGAAGTGTTCACAGAGGAGACAGAAGGAGCTCCAGAAAGACGGAGAGGTGGGGCACCCCACCATGTGCTGGACACAGTGCACACAACCGAGGAAGAAGTGAAGAGGCTTCTGAGTGAGCTAGATACCTCAAAGGCAATGGGGCCAGATAACATCTCCCCATGGTATTGAGAGAGGGAGCAGAGGCGCTATGTGTACCCTTAACAACAATATTCAATACATCTATCGAAACAGGGAGATTGCCTGAGGCATGGAAGACAGCAAATGTAGTCCCAATCTTTAAAAAAGGAGACAGACATGAAGCATTAAACTACAGACCAGTGTCACTGACATGTATAGTATGCAAAATCATGGAGAAAATATCAGAGGAGAGTGGTGGAACACCTAGAAAGGAACGATCTCATCAACAGCAGCCAACATGGTTTCAGGGACGGGAAATCCTGTGTCACAAACCTACTGGAGTTCTATGACATGGTGACAGCAGTAAGACAAGAGAGAGAGGGGTGGGTGGATTGCATTTTCTTGGACTGCAAGAAGGCGTTTGACACAGTCCACACAAGAGATTGGTGCAAAAACTGGAGGACCAAGCAGGGATAACAGGGAAGGCACTATTAATGGATCAGGAATACTTGTCAGGAAGACAGCAGCGAGTCATGGTACGTGCGAGTGTCAGAGTGGGCACCTGTGACCAAGGGGTCCCCACAGGGGTCAGTCCTAGGAACAGTGCTGTTTCTGGTATTTGTGAACGACATGACGGAAGGAATAGACTCTGAGGTGTCCCTGTTTGCAGATGACGTGAAGTTGATGAGAAGAATTCACTCGATCGAAGACCAGGCAGAACTACAAAGGGATCTGGACAGGCTGCAGACCTGGTCCAGCAATTGGCTCCTGGAGTTCAATCCCACCAAGTGCAAAGTCATGAAGATTGGGGAAGGGCAAAGAAGACCGCAGACGGAGTACATCTAGGGGGCCAGAGACTACAAACCTCACTCAAGGAAAAAGATCTTGGGGTGAGTATAACACCAGCACATACTCCTGAAGCGCACATCAACCAAATAACTGCTGCAGCATATGGGCGCCTAGCTAACCTCAGAACAGCATTCCGACATCTTAATAAGAAATCATTCAGGACCCTATACACCGTGTACGTTTAGGCCCATATTGGAGTATGCGGCACCAGTTTGGAACCCACACCTAGCCAAGCACGTAAAGAAACTAGAGAAAGTGCAAAGGTTTGCAACAAGACTAGTCCAGAGCTAAGAGGTATGTCCTACGAGGAGAGGTTAAGGGAAATCAACCTGACGACACTGGAGGACAGGAGAGATAGGGGGGACATGATAACGACATACAAAATACTGAGAGGAATTGACAAGGTGGACAAAGACAGGATGTTCCAGAGATTGGACACAGTAACAAGGGGACACAGTTGGAAGCTGAAGACACAGATGAATCACAGGGATGTTAGGAAGTATTTCTTCAGCCACAGAGTAGTCAGTAAGCGGAATAGTTTGGGAAGCGATGTAGTGGAGGCAGGATCCATACATAGCTTTAAGCAGAGGTATGATAAAGCTCACGGCTCAGGGAGAGTGAACTAGTAGAGAGGGCGGGGCCAGGAGCTCGGACTCGACCCCCGCAACCTCAACTAGGTGAGTACAACTAGGTGAGTACACACACACACACACACACACACACACACACACACACGCACACACACGCACACACACACACACACACACACACACACACACACACACACACACACACACACACACACACACACACACACACACACACACACACACACACACACACAACGAGTCATGGTACGTGACGAGGTGTCAAAGTGGGCGCCTGTGACAAGCGGGGTTCCACAGGGGTCAGTCCTGGGACCTGTGCTGTTCTTGGTATATGTGAATGACATAACGGAAGGGATAGACTCAGAAGTGTCCTTGTTTGCGGACGATGTGAAGTTAATGAGAAGAATCAAATCGGATGAGGATCAGGCAGAACTACAAAGAGACCTGGACAGGCTACAAGCCTGGTCCAGCAACTGGCTCCTTGAATTTAATCCCGTCAAATGATAAGTCGTGAAGATTGGGGAAGGGCAAAGAAGACCGGAGACACAATATAGTTTAGATGGCCAAAGTCTGCAAACCTCACTCAAGGAAAAAGATCTGGGGGTGAGTATAACACCGAGCATATCTCCTGAGGCGCACATCAATCAGATAACTGCTGCAGCATACGGGCGCCTGGCAAACCTACGGATAGCGTTCCGATACCTCAGTAAGGAGTCGTTCAAGACTCTGTATACCATTTACGTCAGGCCCATACTGGAGTATGCAGCACCAGTTTGGAATCCACACCTAGTCAAGCACGTCAAGAAATTAGAGAAAGTGCAAGGTTTGCAACAAGACTAGTGCCAGAGCTACGGGGATTGTCCTACGAAGAAAGGTTAAGGGAAATCGGCCTGACGACACTGGAGGCCAGGAGGGTCAGGGGAGACATGATAACGACATATAAAATACTGCGCGGAATAGACGAGGTGGACAAAGACGGGATGTTCCAGAGATGGGACACAGACACAAGAGGTCACAATTGGAAGTTGAAGACTCAGATGAATCAAAGGGATGTTAGGAAGTATTTCTTCAGTCATAGAGTAGTCAAGCCGTGGAATAGCCTAGAAAGTGAAGTAGTGGAGGCGGGAACCATACATAGTTTTAAGGCGAGGTATGATAAAGCTCATGGAGCATTATTATTATTATAATCAAGGGGGAAGCGCTAAACCCGGAGGATTATACAGCGCCTGGGGGGGATGTGGAAGGCATTCAGGCTTAATTCGGGGAACTGGAGCACAGATCCAATTCCCTAAATCAAGAGCCCCTCACCAACATCAAGGAACCTTCCTTGAGGGGAGCTCATGGAGCAGGGTGGGAGAGGACCTAGTAGCAATCAGTGAAGAGGCGGGGCCAGGAGCTATGAATCGACCCCTGCAACCACAAATAGGTGAGTACAAATAGGTGAGTACACACACACACACACACACACACACAGACTCGCTTATTTACCTCTTTCTTCCTAAATCTTAGTGGCGAGCGACGGACAGTGCCCTTACCCATACACGTCAGTGGGTACTGATTGCTTGATGCTAAGCAAAGTCACCAGGACGTGGAACAACTCACGCCGATACTGTCAGGGCATCAACGGAGACCTGGCGACCACCAGAAAGGTTTACTATATGCAGAATTTCCTCATCGATGAGGGAGGTGAGAATACCAGCTTTCTTACTTTTAATAATGGGGGGGTCGAAATATTCAGACTAACTTTATTTTCAATGTTTCTATCTCCATCTGGATTGATACCATCACCAACGGTTTATTATGCTTTTGCCAAATATATATATATATATATATATATATATATATATATAATATATAATATATATATATATTATATATATATATATATATATATATATATATATATATATATATATATATATTTATATGAGGAAATATCCAAAATTTATGAAATAGGTAATGATTTAAAATACCCAAGAAATGTAATTGATAAATCTTTTAAAGTTGCTAGGAACACTTTTTATAATCCAAAAAAGGGCAACCAGCCTTATTCAACTAAAAATATGTTGGTTCTCCCTTACCATGAAAACTTGGTTGATATGCCTTCTCTTCTTAAGACTTTAATATTAAAGTTGTATTCAAAAATCTTGATACAGTAAAAAAACTTTTGATTAAGAATTCCCCCCAAAATGCTGATGGATGTGTCTATAAGATTCCTTGTAAAATTTGCGATAAAGTTTATTACGGTCAAACTGGTAAAAATCTCGAACTAAGATTAAAACAACATAAATATAGCATTAGAACTGGACAAGATTCCAATGCTCTATTTATTCATGTAAGAGATTTTAACCATCCAATTGATTTTCAAAAAGTTGAGAAAGTAGTATCAAGCAAGTCCATGGTCGACAGGAATATAATTGAATCTTGTTTCATAAAAAGCAGTTTTGACAATAATATGAATATTTCCTTTGGTTTATATAAATTAGATCCATTTATAATTAATAGAATTTGGGTAGAATTTAATAATACACTGGACAAATAAATAGCTTGGGGGTGAGTTTTGCAAAGGACCTATCCAAGTTGGGTCGGCGCGCGTCAGGTGTTTAACCGTTGTGGGATCTGATAGTGAGGTGCTGGCCGACCCCTTATATAGCTTCCTTGGATGCTTCACTTTCATAGTTCCTTGATAATGTGAGTAGTCACCAAAGCGCTTGGAATTTCTCTTTTCTTTCAGAGTGGTTGTTTTGCATATTTTGAAATCACCTGTTTACTGTGATCTTATTGCATATATATATATAATATATATATATATATATATATATATATATATATATATATATATATATAATATATATATATAATATATTTATATATATATATATATATATATATATATATATATGCAATAAGATCACAGTAAACAGGTGATTTCAAAATATGCAAAACAACCACTCTGAAAGAATAGAGAAATTCCAAGCGCTTTCGTGACTACTCACATTATCAAGGAACTATGAAAGTGAAGCAACCAAGGAAGCTATATAAGGGGTCGGCCAGCACCTCACTATCAGATCCCACAACGGTTAAACACGTGACGCGCGGCGAGCCAACTTGGACAGGTCCTTTGCAAAACTCACCCCAAGCTATTTATTTGTCCAGTGTATTATTAAATTCTACCCAAATTCTATTAATTATAAATGGATCTAATTTATATAAACCAAAGGAAATATTCATATTATTGTCAAAACTGCTTTTTATGAAACAAGATTCAATTATATTCCTGTCGACCATGGACTTGCTTGATACTACTTTCTCAACTTTTTGAAAATCAATTGGATGGTTAAAATCTCTTACATGAATAAATAGAGCATTGGAATCTTGTCCAGTTCTAATGCTATATTTATGTTGTTTTAATCTTAGTTCGAGATTTTTACCAGTTTGACCGTAATAAACTTTATCGCAAATTTTACAAGGAATCTTATAGACACATCCATCAGCATTTTGGGGGGAATTCTTAATCAAAAGTTTTTTTACTGTATCAAATTTTTGAATACAACTTTAATATTAAAAGTCTTAAGAAGAGAAGGCATATCAACCAAGTTTTCATGGTAAGGGAGAACCAACATATTTTAGTTGAATAAGGCTGGTTGCCCTTTTTTGGATTATAAAAAGTGTTCCTAGCAACTTTAAAAGATTTATCAATTACATTTCTTGGGTATTTTAAATCATTACTATTTCATAAATTTTGGATATTTCCTCATCTATGAACTCAGGACTACAAATTCGTAAAGCTCTCAAAAAACATTGATGAGAAACAGACAGTTTGACTCTATCTTGATGCGAGGAATAATAGTGGACATAGGAACAGTTATTTGTAGGTTTCTGTAAATTTTAAATTTGAATTCATTATTACCCTTAATAATTAAAACATCTAGAAAAGCAATGAGTTATTTTCTTCAAACTCAACAGTAAAGTTTATAGAATGGGCTAAGCTATTTAATTTTCCAAGAAAATGGTGTATATCTACATTTTTGGGCATAAGACACAAAATATCATCAACATATCTGAACCATTAGCTCTATTAGGGAGGAATTGTGTTAAGCAACCTTGTTTCAAAAAATTCCATGTATAGGTTACTAAGAACAGGTGAAAGAGGATTTCCCATTGCCATACCAAACTTCTGAGTGTAAAACTTATCATTAAATACAAATTTTGCATCAACAATGCATTTTAATGATATTTAATGATAAGTTTTACACTCAGAAGTTTGGTATGGCAATGGGAAATCCTCTTTCACCTGTTCTTAGTAACCTATACATGGAATTTTTTGAAACAAGGTTGCTTAACACAATCCTCCCTAATAGAGCTAAATGGTTCAGATATGTTGATGATATTTTGTGTCTTATGCCCAAAAATGTAGATATACACCATTTTCTTGGAAAATTAAATAGCTTAGCCCATTCTATAAACTTTACTGTTGAGTTTGAAGAAAATAACTCATTGCCTTTTCTAGATGTTTTTAATTATTAAGGGTAATAATGAATTCAAATTTAAAATTTACAGAAAACCTACAAATAACTGTTCCTATGTCCACTATTATTCCTCGCATCAAGATAGAGTCAAACTGTCTGTTTTCTCATCAATGTTTTTGAGAGCTTTACGAATTTGTAGTCCTGAGTTCATAGATGAGGAAATATCCAAAATTTAATGAAATAGGTAATGATTTAAAATACCCAAGAAATGTAATTGATAAATCTTTTAAAGTTGCTAGGAACACTTTTTATAATCCAAAAAAGGGCAACCAGCCTTATTCAACTAAAAATATGTTGGTTCTCCCTTACCATGAAAACTTGGTTGATATGCCTTCTCTTCTTAAGACTTTTAATATTAAAGTTGTATTCAAAAATCTTGATACAGTAAAAAAACTTTTGATTAAGAATTCCCCCCAAAATGCTGATGGATGTGTCTATAAGATTCCTTGTAAAATTTGCGATAAAGTTTATTACGGTCAAACTGGTAAAAATCTCGAACTAAGATTAAAACAACAATAAATATAGCATTAGAACTGGACAAGATTCCAATGCTCTATTTATTCATGTAAGAGATTTTAACCATCCAATTGATTTTCAAAAAGTTGAGAAAGTAGTATCAAGCAAGTCCATGGTCGACAGGAATATAATTGAATCTTGTTTCCATAAAAAGCAGTTTTGACAATAATATGAATATTTCCTTTGGTTTATATAAATTAGATCCATTTATAATTAATAGAATTTGGGTAGAATTTAATAATACACTGGACAAATAAATAGCTTGGGGGTGAGTTTTGCAAAGGACCTGTCCAAGTTGGCTCGCCGCGCGTCACGTGTTTAACCGTTGTGGGATCTGATAGTGAGGTGCTGGCCGACCCCGTATATAGCTTCCTTGGTTGCTTCACTTTCATAGTTCCTTGATAATGTGAGTAGTCACGAAAGCGCTTGGAATTTCTCTATTCTTTCAGAGTGGTTGTTTTGCATATATATATATATATATATATATATATATATATATATATATATATATATATATATATATATATATATATATATATATATATATATATATATAATATATATATATATATATGTCGTGCCGAATAGGTAAAATTGGCCAATTAGCAAGAACTCATATAAAATTAAATCCTTTCTAAAATTTTCTCTTATACTTTTTAAGATATATTTACGAAACTAAATATATTTTAGATAAGTTTACAATAATTTAATTATAAACAAACACAATGAAATATATTTTTTTCGTTAGGTTCAGAAGGATTTTTGTGAAACTATTCCATACACAAATTTTCCCTTGCCTTATTCGGCAAGAAGAGCGTTGCTATTTACATTATATAACATTTTACATTTAGTAATTGATGGTGAAAGTGTTTCTTCTTTTTCGGTTCACCTTGTGTGTGTGTCTACTCACCTATTTGTGGTTGCAGGGGTCGATTCACAGCTCTTGGTCCAGTGTGTGTGTGTGTGATATACGATGTACGATATAACATACATAGTGAACACTATGCTACAGCTTAAATATAAAAAATATTTATTTTTGAGAGGGAACGTAATTATTAAGCTTTCTAAATCCTTACAACGTACTGTATTCTTCTTTCATTTCCTCAGCGCAAGGTGAAGTCTGGATCGGCGGGAAGAAAATAAACCAAACTTTTCAATGGATCGACACAGAGACAGATATAAATACTACTAGTTTTGTGGCAACTTTACCTCATCTTCGTGGAGACAACAACTGTGTGTACGTGAACAAGGCCAACAATCCTCCTCTTGCAAATTTCGCGTGTTCTAAACTTAGCTTGTTTATGTGTCAGTTTACCTCCTAAGTCCTATGAGAACGATAGTTTTCTGGTGGAGACTAAGATCGTCGAAAAAGCTCCGTTGTCATCAGGAGCTATGCAGTGTTTCAAAAGTATCAACAGAGGAATGATGGGAAGTTTTCTCGGAGTAAGGTAGCGTGGTGACGCCAGTCAGTTCCTTTCAGATATGAGAGGCACCATTTGCTACTCAGGCATCCCGTCCCCTCTCCACCTCTTCACATTTGGGGTAGGGCAGAGAGGACCTTCTACCCCAAATGGGAAGAGGTGGTGAGGGGACAGGATACCTTCAAATCTGTGAATAGTTGGCTGGTGTCACCACACTACTCTGAAAATTTTCCCTCATTCATTATATATATATATATATATATATATATATATATATATATATATATATATATATATATATATATATATATATATATATAAAAAAAAGGTGGTACTTCCCTTGTTTTACTTTCTGTTGTATTTTTGTGAATGTTTGGCCAATGTATTTTGTCTTTAAATAAAACATACTTGAAAAATAGGGAGTGGTAGGAGAAAATTCTCAAACAGCTTCAGGGAGAAGAGTTTTCCCTGAAAGAAGTTTATTCTTATCTCTGAGGATGAGGGTCCCTAGGACAGTTCTAGAGGTGGTACCTCCCTATATTATATATATATATATATATATATATATTATATATATATATATATATATATATATATATATATATATATATATATATATATATATATATATATATATATATATATATATATATATTTATGTATGTATATAATAGATCATCTTAAAGTTTAGGCAGAAAATAGTTTTAACGGATTGACTTTAATAATTGACATAAACAAAATTTGATTATCTTTAAATTTTGTAATAGATAATTAGGAAAAAATGTATAAACGAAAAAATAGATTACACAAATTAATAATACTTTGTGATAATATTTTTTTAAAAATTATCAATAAATTTTTTTGGACACCAGAACTGTTTTATGAGTTTTAATATTATTATGTTGCATTCCCCATGGTTTATGTTGGGTCCCGTATTGTTCATAATGCTTTCCTTACGGCATATGCTTGATCATTTTAGGGTCTCCGGTGGCCTACGCTGGGTTTCCCTTGGTACATATAACGTCCCTCGTAGTTGGGTGTCAGCCGTCTGTCTTACTAGGAAGAAATCATCCTTCCTAATCACTGATTAATAACATCCCAGGAATTCTCATTTCACTATCCCTCAAAAAGAGGTTCCTTCGTGCCGGTGCGAGGCTCTTGATCGAAGTAACTGGATTTATCATCATTGAATCGAGAGAAATGCCTTTCATTACCTAAACGCGGCATAAACCCTACGGGTTTAAATTGTGGGTTATGGTTTATCCATTAGTAAATTTTACGCCTTGAGAAATGTGAAAAAAAAAAATGTGGAGATGGAACTCAAGGGAAGATGTCAGCAGACGAAAACACCAACAGACAAGTGTAGCGAAGGTGGATGTGTAGTAGGGATCCTGAGAGATAATAGTGAAGGAGATAGTGTACAGAAGATGTCCCAAGACGGTGTGAAGATTGTAGCTGTGTAATTTCGAAAGACATGTGAAGATGTGAAAGTGAAGATACTCACTTATGAAGGTGTCACGAAGAGGGTAGTGTATTGAAGATTCTGATAGATGTAGGCGTGGGAGATTAATACTCAAAAGTACTCATTTATGTATGGGTCATTTGTTGTGTCAATTGAATGTAATGTGGCCTACTCTATGCTCTTTTTTTATTGGCCTTATGTACATCCGGTACACGCTTGGCTGTACAATTCCATTGTCTCGTCTAAAGTGATCACCTCCCAAGGCGATGGACTTTAGTAAATATTTTTAAGGCAACTAACTCCTCTGATTCACTATTATTATCTTGGTTGCTCAGTTGGAGTTTGAAGACCTTCGATGGACCGTATATACTAGGCACGATAATTGTACATATGTGTACCTGTAACTAAATAAACTTACTGCAATGTTAATTTCACTGTTATCTTTCGGGATCGTCTGGCAAATTATAAGTACATTATTAACCCCCTCATGTGGAATCACACACAAGATATCACTAACAAATATCCTTTTCTTTACACAGAATAACCTAATTCATTTATCTTATTAAAGAATGCATGCGAAGCATAACAAAATATTATATATATATAAAAAGTTTTAAACTCACCTTACTATAAGGCGAAATTGTCTAGAACAGGTTCCTCCATAAGTCAAGTCTCTATACGAAGTCTGTACTTCAGGATTATGAATAGAAGGTTACTTTCCTGGGAGATGGATTGCAGTAATGCAGCTGGTAGAATCTTCTATATGCAATGGTCCTATAGTTAATGGTAGATTTCGAACCGAAGTCGTCATAAGTTTCAATCTCCTACGTGCAAGTTATCTGTGTATTGTTCCAGCCACGGTTCTCCACCTTTTCGATCTACAATATGGGGTCCTGGCATCAGTCCACATGTGACTGATGCAAGCAGCTTTAAATCAGGGGATTTTCCAATCTTTAATCAGTACTACTCAGGTCCTCGTTAATGTACGTAATGAAATTATATTTGTAATTATATTGAGAAATATCTGGGTGTTTTATTCCTAACTCTGAGTCGCAATCAACATTGGTTAAAATACAATGTTTTCCCTATCGGTTTCTGAGAGTAACATCCTCAGCTTGAGAACGCTATGACAATCTCTAGCTCTTGGCTTTAATTAAATATCTTGTCTCTCATGAGTTCATTTATAATCTATTTGTAAGAAGGAAACTAAATTTTGGTAATTACGAACTTGAATACATTAAAAATTAATATTCATTAAAAGCATTAAAATATAACAAATGTATTATAGTATAATAATAAGGTATTAAAAGGACCCCAATGGAAATAAGTCACTGACTTTTTTGGGTTATCCCAGGTTCTCTACACACATGCTGCAATGTATGATAATCTGTGTAACTGTATTTGTGTATACCTGAATAAACTTATTTACTTACACGCTTTAGCTTATCTGTCATAACACTGCCCCTCAAGGGAGGTTTCTTGATGCTGGTGAGGGGCTCTTGACCTAGGAAATTGGATTTGTGCTCCAGTTCCCTGAATTGAGCCTGAATGCCTTCCAATCCCCCCTCTCACCATATGCGCTGTATAATCCTATGGGTTTAGCGCTCCCCATGATTATAATAATTATGTCATAACACTGAGGCCAAGTACCTTGGCTCAATATGTTTCCCTGTAATATTTTGATTATTTCCCATGTGATAGGTATAAGGTACATAACAATGTTATTAAGCTAAACTGTCGAGGAGGTGGTATGTATCTTAGGCCACAACTATGGTCAATATGAAACTGGACTTGTAGTAGAGAAGAGAATCAGGTTCGATAAGATAAGATTTCGTTCGGATTTTTAACCCCGGAGGGTTAGCCACCCAGGATAACCCAAGAAAGTCAGTGCGTCATCGAGGACTGTCTAACTTATTTCCATTGGGGTCCTTAATCTTGTCCCCCAGGATGCGACCCACACCAGTCGACTAACACCCAGGTACCTATTTGCTGCTAGGTGAACAGGACAACAGGTGTAAGGAAACGTGTCGAATGTTTCCACCCGCCGGGAATCGAACCCGGGCCCTCCGTGTGTGAAGCGGGAGCTTTAGCCACCAGGCTAAATTTAGGTGACTACAATTATTATACATTTGTGAATTGCCTAGGAAAATCCAAATACGATCGGACGACTGTGGTGTCGTTTACTAAATTTCAGACGGCTGTGTTAGGTGGTGCTGTTGAGAAGCTACCAGGATCTTGAACTTTCTTTTTATATATTTTTTATCATACTTGCTAAGGTGCAAGTACTTATTATAATCTAAGTGTGTCAATTGGTATGTAAAGTTTATGTTTATTAATAAATAATAGCTTACCTTTGACCAGAGATTTACACGTTTTCTTACACAATATTTATATTCAGAAAACGAGTTATTCTATTTTAGGGTAACCTTAAGCAAATAATCTTGCACCTAATAATAAGATAAGATTTTGTTCGGATTTTTAACCACGAGGGGTTAGCCACCCAGGATAACCCAAGAAAGACAGTCATCAAGGGACTGTCTTATTTCTATTGAGATCCTCAATCTTGTCCCTCCAGGATGTGACCCACACCAGTCAACTGACACCCAGGTACCTACTTGCTAGGTGAACAGGACAACAGGAGCAAAGAAAAGCGTCGAATGTTTTCACCCCGCCGGGAACTAAACCCGGACCCTCGGCATGTGAAGCGAGAGCTTCGCCATGTACATGTGCAAGGTATACAGGCCTAGTTGACATCAATGACATGCTGCTATATAGAAAGCCGCTTGTTATGCAGAGCATTTCAGCCAAATTAGGTCTATTTTGTCCCAGGATGCGACCCACACCAGTCGACTAGCACCCAGTTACCCATTTTACTGATGGGTGAACATGGACAACCGGTGTTAGGAAACACGCCTAATTTTTTCACCGTCTGCCTGGAATCGAATAAGGACCTTAGCTGCTGGGAACGCCTGGAAACACTTGACTTGTACTCAGTGGAGCGCAGACGAGAGATACATCATAATCTACACCTGGATGATCCTGGAATGACTGGTCCCAATTCTGCACGCAGAAATTACTCCCTGCGAAAGGAAAAGACTTGGCAGGCTGTGCAACATACCCCCAGTGAAAAGTAGGGGTGCCATTGGTATGTACTAAGAGAAAACACAATAACTATCCAAGAAAACACAATAACTGTCCGAGACTGTTCAACAGCCTTCCACCATCCATAAGGAGAATTACCAATAGACTCCTGGTTGTCTCCAAGAGGGAGCTGAACAGATAACTAATGTGGAAAATAATTTCCCAAAATTATGCTTTGTAAATAAACCTGATTAATACATTACTATTGCTCTAAAGTGTATTTCAAAGACAGTGAACTACGTAAGGTGTAGTTAGGGAAGCTCTGCGCCTGCGCTGACGAGCAGGGTAAGTAAGTAAGTAAGTAAGTAAATTTATTCAGGTATACACAATACAGTTACATAGAATTATCATACATAGCAGCATATGTGTAGAGAACCTAGGATAACCCAAAAAAGTCAGACAGAGTGACTTATTTCCATTGGGGTCCTTTTACCTTATTATTATAATATAAAGGTTATAATATTTTCTTATTATTCTATAATGAAGATAACATCTTATTATCATACTAAAAAGATTATCTACTACACGAGGGTCATTAAGACTATCTACAATACGAGGGGCATTACGACTATCTACAATACGAGGGTCATTACTAGGGGTAAGGTAAAATTTACACGTATTTTAGCTAAAAAATAGAAAATCATTCCCCTCCCTTTCTGTTGCTTCATTCATCAGACACTTTTTGGCAGTCTTCTTGAACTGGTTCAAGCTATGACTGGCCTTGACATTTGTGGGTAGTCTGTTCCATTCCTTTATTTCTGTACAATAAAAGGTGTTTGAAGCCTGGGGAGGAGACGCCATTGTTTTTGAGTGTGGTATAGGCACGATAATGAAATGTGCATAATTTTCGTAGCTCTTGGGGTTTTATTGGGCTTAAAACCTCTCAAATAGGAGCCGAAATTTTTGGAATTGCAGTACTACATAACGTGAGAAATCAGGCGACTGGACAGGACTCCGTAATTAGATGGAAACAGGATATTAACCCAGGTGATGTCTATTTATGTTGAGATTCTGGCCAGGTTTCTTTATATATTTAGGCAGGAGTTAAGCATGACACACCGTGATCTCCAGACGAATTGGTGAGTCTTATGATTATAAATTCTCCTTCTGTTACATAAATGTGTATATGTAATCATTTATTAATTTTAACATACAGTCCACAGATTTATAATAATGTTTACCATAATTCTTGGTAATGTATATTTCATTTGAAATTAATATAGGTCAAGAGTGACTTGTGGATATGACAGTAGTAGGTATCGAAGGGGGACATTTTTTGCGACCTAGGTGTCCCAAAATTCCTACTTGTCTATGTAATTTGATAAATAATAATTATCTTTGTTACCATTTACTGGTATGTATCTAATGAGATACATCCAGGTAAATTTAATTTTCCACAACTAAAGTCAGGGCCGGATCAGCCGGGCTGTGGATCGTACGTTGGACTACGTGCGGCCAGACTAGTTTATCAGGCCCTTATCCACCGGGAGGCCTGGTCGTGGACCGGGTCGAGGGGGCGTCGATCTCCGGAATACCCTCCAGGTAAATTCCAGGGACCCTTCACTGTGTGAAACGAGAACTATGCCAACTAGGCCACGAGCCTGGTGGCAAAAGCTTTCTTTTCCGGAGTGTTAGACACTGCGATAAAAAAGGCGTCTAATCACCTATCCCTTCTTAGTTCATATTTGGTATAGTTGAGCGTCTCTCCATTTCATGTGGCAGTTTTCAGTGTCCCTGTAGATTATGCAAGCATTGCTATAGTCAAGGACCCAAATGGATATAAGTCACTTTGACTGACGTTTTTGATTATCCTAGGTAATTTATACATATGCTACAATGTGTGATAATGTATGTAACTATGTGTTCCTGAATAAACTTACTTTCTTATTAATCCCAATAAACGCATCTTGATGCTCACTTAGACGACATGTTCCTCCCAGTTTCTCTCATTTATTAAGTACTCACGGAATTGTATAGACTCCAGCTCCAGGAACAGATGGAGAAACAGAGGGTCATTACTTGGTAAGGTATTTAATGGAAGTGGTGAATACAGCAGCTATATTGGTGTTGAATCTAGTGAGAGACCACGACACCACGCGGGAGACTCAAGTACTGCTTCTTGCTTCTTAGTAGTATTTATTGTAGGAGTGGAGCATAGGATAATCCGCGCCCTGAGTCTGAAATTCTGAATAAACGGGGAAAAATGGAGGCGAGAGAAAGCTTGAGTGATGTAGGCGGATTTATCCTCGAGAAAATAATGACCTTTAATGAGAAACCAACAGCCACTCCTCTTTTGATAAGAGTGTCAGGGTGAAAGCAAACGTGTTTCAGGTGATCCATATCATTGGGCTTCCTTTGCACTTTAAGAGAGTATCATTTTCGGTGCTCTTTAGAAGAGCTTGTCAAGGAAGGTGAGTTTGCCGTCTCGAGCTCTAAAGTGAACTAGATAGAAGGCTTGACAGTGTTGTTCTTGAAAAGGTCGTTGTTATCAAGACGTCTAGGGTAGATGACCAGACTAGAACCAAGTCACGGTATAAGGAATAAGAAGGCACAACACCGTGAATGGAACAATTCATAAATATCCTAACTGTAGGAGACTGAAACCTGGACTATCAATTAGTCACACAGAGTTAATGATCCAAGTCAGACCAGAACGTAGCCATAAATTCAGTCTCCTACCGGCGGGTTATTTATGCACGGTATAAGGAACAATAAGCATGGATTTCTTCAATCTCATGGTTTCCGCCTTTTTTCTGGACAAGCTGCTGTCTGTTGTAATGTATTAACAGCATTTCTACAGTTCCATTAGACAGGAAATATTTTTTTAAAAGATGCACGTTTAAACTTCCGTCCCGTTACTCACTTCGTTTTATTTTTCTTCACTTCTTTCCTTCTCCTCTCTAGCCTCCCTTTCTCCCTTACCTTTCCTCACTTCGTCCATTTCCCCACTTCCCCTCCCCCTTTCATCCAGCCTCCCACCCTTCACTTTCCTTTCTCTCCCCATCCTGCCTTCCCTCCATCCCCTTCTGCTCGCTTGTTTCTGGGCAGCAAAATAACTTGCAATATTTTTTGTATCTTTTATAGCTTGTATTTCCGTAGAAAAATGTGGGTTACCAGTGGGACTGAACAACGGTTTTTAGGCTGAGGGACTAATTACCTTATCTCCCACTGTCTTCTGTACATGTTCTGTAAGACTGAGGAAATGGTTACATTATCTTCTGTTGTCTTTGTATAACATCTCTGTTGAGTTGAAAAAGTCACTGGTTATCGAAACATCTTCTAATGAAGATAACCAGATGTTTCACTTGTCTCTAATTCATCATGTTGTCAGTATTGTAAAACGTTATATAATAACATTATGCTTAGGTTAATAAAAAAATTGTATTGTATATGTAAAAAATTTATTAACACAATTATCTATTACAATAATCACCTGATATTTTTTTACTGGAAAGTACACAGTCAAATAAGGTCACTTGACCTCACTTGACTTTGAATTAGATCTATTTTGCTGGACTTGAAATCAGGGTGGACTTTGATGGCGGAGAAGTGCTAGAAAAAGACTGAAATAATTCAAGATTGTTTTAGATGTCAAGGGAAAAGAAAGAGGGAATGAAGAATAAAGAAGTTGTGAAAAGAAGATGGAGGAGGAGAAAAGATAAAAGAATAGAGTTTATGAAAGTAGAAAAAAAATTTAGTTTTGCGGAGGAGCAAGTTGTCGAATGGGAAAGACGAGGATGACGAGTGACGAGAAGTTCAGCTTGTAGATAATAATCAGAATGTAGCTTCAGGTAAGACAGAGAGAGAGAGAGGAGGAGGAAGAGGGGTTAACTTCAGAGACAGTATAGCAAAGGTGAACGTAGATATATCATTACAAGTGACAGTTCTCATTCGCCCGTCATCATCTCCATGAATTCTGGGGAAGATGAGACATCAGAATTATTAATCTACTTACTGAAAGCAATTACATTATTTTAATAAACATGTAAACATGAGAGAACATGGGATATATGATCAGAATAAGCAATTTCAAAAAAACAGAATAAGTAATTTAAAAAACTATGCTTGCGTATGCATTTATAGATATAAATTATTTAAATATTATATGTCATAGCAATGCCTGTAAAGACCTAGCCATGCTAGGTGTCCTAGTGGCCCCCTCTGTAATTAGTATTTTATAACATGTAAACCACACAATACCCAAAACCTGTAAACTCCACATTGTAACCCTTATAGAAAATAAAATTGAATTGAATTGCCTGAAGACGGAAGGCGTTGGAAAATTGATCATCATTAGTGCCCGACAAATATTCCTGACGCTTATTCTTGTCGGATTGTAAGTCTCAGGTTGTTAAGTGTGACTTACAGTGGGAGTTTCTTTCTAAACATGAGTTTAATATTGTAGAAAAGTCACCGCATCGGGGTATCGTAGTTACAGAAACACATACTATTCGTGTAACTCTGTTTCAGTAAGCTAATGATTCAGAAATACAAATATAGCCCAGCGAACTGATAAAGACATGGCTTTTCTGAATTTCATCTAATTTTTTTGGAGGAAAGGGAGTTTCCCATGACACATAACCACTACTCAAAACCTGTGTCGTTAACTATCTTAAGACCATGAAGAAAATTCCCATCATTTTTAGAAACTCTTATGACATTTGTAGAAATACGAAATTTGAAAGTCCAATCAAAAGTGCTCAAAATACATAAATTATTGATATAAGTCCATAGAGTGAAAACTTACTATCAGAAAGAGTTAATTTTCGTAGAGAAGTCAAGTTTTCGGTTTTATTGATTTTGAAGCACAAGGTTCCACATAAAATATCTTCAGAAAACTGTTACTGAAATATATAAAAAAATGATTCATGGTGACGACATAATTGTAATATTGGCTAACAGTGAATATGTTGTGAAAGCTATCAGTAATAACCATCGAGAAATGGCCCGGACTGATATCTGGGAACACTTCTGTTAATTGGAAACAGGAGACAGTTGTTGAGCCATTTCAAACATGTACGTATTTATACGTAAATATACATATGCATATGTATACACACACACACACGCACACACACATACACACACACACACACACACACACACACACACACACACACACACACACACACACACACACACACACACACAGGAATTGACAAGGTGGACAAAGCCAGGATGTTCCAGAGATGGGACAGAGCAACACAGTTGGAAGTTGAAGACACAGATGAATCACAGGGATGTTAGGAAGTATTTCTTCAGCCACAGAGTAGTCAGGAAGTGGAATAGTTTGGGAAGCGATGTAGTGGAGGCAGGATCTATACATAGCTTTAAGCAGAGGTATGATAAAGCTCACGGTTCAGGGAGAGTGACCTAGTAGCGACCAGTGAAGAGGCGGAGCCAGGAGCTTGGACTCGACTCTTGCAACCTGATCTAGGCGAGTACAACTAGGTGAGCACACACACACACACACACACATATATATATGCAATAAGATCACAGTAAACAGGTGATTTCGGAATATGCAAAACAACCACTCCGAAAAAATAGAGAAATTCCAAGCGCTTTCGTGACTACTCACATTATCAAGGAACTATATATAAATATATATATTATATATATATATATATATATATATATATATATATATATATATATATATATATATATATATATATATATATATATATATATATATATATATATATATATATATATATATATATATATATATATATATATATATATATATATATATATATATATATTATATATATATATATATATATATATATATATATATATATATATATATATATATATAATGAGAACCTTCAAAACTAGGGAGGCCAAGCCCATGATGACACTCTTCAGGTCACTTGTTCTATCTAGGCTGGAATATTGCTGCACTCTAACAGCACCTTTCAAGGCAGGTGAAATTGCCGACCTAGAAAATGTACAGAGAACTTTCACGGCCCGCATAACGGAGATAAAACACCTCAATTACTGGGAGTGCTTGAGGTTTCTAAACCTGTATTCCCTGGAACGCAGGAGGGAGAGATACATGATTATATACACCTGGAAAATCCTAGAGGGACTAGTACCGAACTTGCACACGAAAATCACTCACTACGAAAGCAAAAGACTTGGCAGACGATGCACCATCCCCCCAATGAAAAGCAGGGGTGTCACTAGCACGTTAAGAGACCATACAATAAGTGTCAGGGGCCCGAGACTGTTCAACTGCCTCCCAGCATATATAAGGGGGATTACCAACAGACCCCTGGCAGTCTTCAAGCTGGCACTGGACAATCACCTAAAGTCAGTTCCTGATCAGCCGGGCTGTGGCTCGTACGTTGGTTTGCGTGCAGCCAGCAGCAACAGCCTGGTTGATCAGGGGCTGATCCACCAGGAGGCCTGGTCACAGACCGGGCCGCGGGGGCGTTGACCCCCGAAACTCTCTCCAGGTAAACTCCAGGTAATATATATATATTATATATATATATATAACTATATATAACTATATATATATACATATATATATATATATATATATATATATATATATATATATATATATATTTATATATATATATATATATATATATATATATATATATATATATATATATATATATATATATATATATATATATATTATAGGTAGTAGGTTGGTAGACAGCAACCACCCAGGGAGGTACTACCGTCCTGCCAAGTGAGTGTAAAACGAAAGCCTGTAATTGCTTTACATGATGGTAGGATTGCTGGTGTCTTTTGTTTGTCTCATGAATATGCAAGATTGCAGGTACGTCTTGCTACTTCTACTTACACTTAGGTCACACTACACATACATGTACAAGAATATATATATATACACACCCCTCTGGGTTTTCTTCTATTTTCGTTCTAGTTCTTGCTCTTGTTTATTTCCTCTTACCTCCATGGGGAAGTGGAACAGAATTCTTCCTCAATAAGACATGCGTGTTGTAAGAGGCGACTAAAATGCCGGGAGCAAGGGGCTAGTTCTCCTGTATATATTACTAAATGTAAAAGGAGAAACTTTCGTTTTTCCTTTTGGGCCACCCTGCCTCGGTGGGATACGGCCGGTGTGTTGAAAGATATATATATATATATATATATATATATATATATATATATATATATATATATATATATATATATATATATATATATATATATATATATATATATATATATATGTGTGTGTGTGTGTGTGTGTGTGTGTGTGTGTGTGTGTGTGTGTGTGTGTGTGTGTGTGTGTACTCACCTAGTTGTACTCACCTAGTTGAGGTTGCGGGGGTCGAGTCCGAGCTCCTGGCCCCTCCTCTTCACTGATCGCTACTAGGTCACTCTCCCTGAGCCTGAGCTTTATCATACCTCTGCTTAAAGCTATGTATGGATCCTGCCTCCACTACATCACTTCCCAAACTATTCCACTTACTGACTACTCTGTGGCTGAAGAAATACTTCCTAACATCCCTGTGATTCATCTGTGTCTTCAGCTTCCAACTGTGTCCCCTTGTTACTGTGTCCAATCTCTGGAACATCCTGTCTTTGTCCACCTTGTCAATTCCTCTCAGTATTTTGTATGTCGTTATCATGTCCCCCCTATCTCTCCTGTCCTCCAGTGTCGTCAGGTTGATTTCCCTTAACCTCTCCTCGTAGGACATACCTCTTAGCTCTGGGACTAGTCTTGTTGCAAACCTTTGCACTTTCTCTAGTTTCTTTACGTGCTTGGCTAGATGTGGGTTCCAAACTGGTGCCGCATACTCCAGTATGGGCCTAACGTACACGGTGTACAGGGTCCTGAATGATTCCTTATTAAGATGTCGGAATGCTGTTCCGGAATGCTGTGTGTGTGTGTGTGTGTGTGTGTGTGTGTGTGTGTGTGTGTGTGTGTGTGTGTGTGTGTGTGTGTGTGTGCAAAACAACTACTGAGAAAGAATAGTGAAATTCCAAGTGCTTTCGTGACTTCTCACCTTATCAAGGAACTATATCATATAGTTCCTTGAATATGTGAGAAGTCACGAAAGCCATTGGAATTTCACTATTCTTCCACAGTGGTTGTTTTGCATATTCTGAAATCACCTGTTTAGTGTGATCTTATCACATATATATATATATATATATATATATATATATATATATATATATATATATATATATATATATATATATATATATATATATATATATATATATATATTATATATATATATATAATCTTCCAGTCACTGTCTCTTTGTCTCACCATCAAAATCAACAGTGCCAGAACCATCCTCGTCGATCTCGTCAATAATACCATCAAGGTCCTCATCCGTCAGCTTGTTATCCAGCTCCTTGAGGATCTCCTTCAACGTCTGCGTGGTGATGTAGCCATCACCTGAAGACAGGAATAGCATCACTGATGAACGAAGTATGAGATGGAGGAAGGGAGGAGAAAGGGATGGAAGGATGGAGGGAATGGAGGAGAGAGAAAGAGAAAGAGAGAGAGAGAGAGAGAGAGAGAGAGAGAGAGAGGAGAGAGAGAGAGAGAGAGAGAGAGAGAGAGAGAGAGAACTAAAAAGTAGAGACGTGGACACACGAAAAGAGGCAGAAACGTGAGCGCAGGCAGATAGAGGCAAAGACGTGGACGCAGACAATTAAAGGCAAAAACGTGGACGCAGAAAAATTAAAGCAAAGACGTGGATGCAGAGAGATAAAGGGAGAGACGTGGACGCAGACCGAGATGGTACAAAGACAGATTGATTAGCAAATGTGTGCTTTCTCTGAGAGCGAAACTAAGAAACTTGGACAGAATTGTGTTGATAATAATTCTGGTGAAACTATAAATAATAAGTAGTGATAAAACTACTAATAATTGTATTTGTAATGGAATTAATAATGGTATTAAGTGATGATATTGATAATGATTTAGGTAATGTTGTTAGTAATGGTATTGTTATTTGGGATGGTAATAGAATTGGTAATGATATTATACTGAAAATGGTATTTATAATGGTACTGTTACTGGTAATTGCATTACATTATGTGTAATTGTAATGGTAATTTGTAATGGTAATGGCAGGTGCATAATACAGAACCGTATGGAATATAGGACATACAAACTGAATTACAGTTAGATAAATTAATTAGATAAAACGTTTAAAAATAACCAAGGAAGGAGGAAATGGAGTGAATACAGTCATAAATACTTGAAACAGGAAATATTAGCTCAGAATAGATGCTACCGTCCTGCAAGTGAGTGTGAAACAGAAACCTGCAATTGGTTTGCATAATGGTAGGATTGCTGGTGTCTTTTTTCTGTCATAAACACTCGGGATGTACCCTGCCTGGGTATGATACGGCCGGTTTGTTATATATATATATATATATATATATATATATATATATATATATATATATATATATATATATATATATATATATATATATATATATTTTATATATATATATATATATATATATATATATATATATATATATATATATATATATATATATATATATATATAATATATATATATATATAATATTATATATAATATATATATATATATATATATATATATATATATATATATAATATATATTATATATATATATATATATATATATATATATTATATATATATATATATATATATATATATATATATATATATATATATATATATATATATATATATATATATATATATATATATATATATATATATATATTTTTATCACACTGGCCGATTCCCACCAAGGCCTTTTGTATGAGCAATGCAATGAGGAGTTGAAATACAGAGGAGCCCAAGCTGATGTGTCTGGAAACATGGTCCTGCCAGGAGATACAGGATCAGCCAAGCGACGGCCCTAAGTGCCAGAAGTCAAGGTAAGTATTTTAAGTAAAGAAGAAAACGACAGATAAGCCCATAAGCGTCGCCAACACGGTAGTAAATGGTAGTATATAGCCCATATAACCTATCACTAATCAATATACGAATATCTTTTGATTATAGGAGCAAAAGGAAAATTTCTCGTATTCATGGCACTATTCAACCCAACACCGCCGTGTTATAGGAAGTCTCCCATTATAGGTATATAAATACTTCAGCTCGTATATCCGCCACGATTGACTAGTAATGGCTTGTTTCCTTAACAAATTTTAAGAGCTCCAGAAGCTTGTGATAATCAAATGGCGTTCATGCCAGAACTCATTATGTGATATTATTTCCCATTTTTATCGTAATCTCTTCTCAAAATATTACTCCTCTAAGCAGTATCTAGGTTAGGTTAGGTAAAGTTTGTCAGGAAACATGACAAGTGTTTTCTGACGCGGGTCTTAGTCATATGACCAGCAGCCGAAGCTTTTGGTCATCTGACCATGGCCTTCCGCTGGCTTACCTGTCAGCCCCTTTAAAAAATATGGCTATGATAGTGAACATTTTATAATGTAAGCATCAGCTTTATTTAACAACTGAATCCATAAAGATTAAAAATATATAGATAAAACTGGAGAATATGCGGACACCTTATAGAGAATGGAACTTTCTAAGTCTGGGTGAACTAAACTAAAACTGGGACGCCAGTAGCACCATGCAAACACAAAACAATGTGTTCATCTCTCGAGAAACACACTTCTTATAAACAACAGAAATTGAGACTATAATTTCCTAAAAATATCTAACTATGGTGAGCTTTTAAACCGGCTTAAATCATATTTAGAAAAAAATTGTTTAACATATTTATGGATCAACGATTAGTTAAAATAATAATAATGTAATAATAATAATAATAATAATAATAATAATAATAATAATAATAATAATAATAATATTTTTACTCTCGAAAAGGGACAGGATTATCCAATGAATTATTTCCTGAAGGATAAGTTCCGGCGAGTTAAACATAGTGTTACAGTACTTGCCTCCTTTATCGTAGAGCCTGAAGGCCTCCTTCAGCTCCTCGTGCATGGCTTCGTCATCGTCCTCCTCCAGGAAGGGCATAACGATGGCGCAGAACCTCTCGAAGTCAACTTTGCCTTCCTCTGTTTCCGAAGACATGCATTCACTATTTTCTATATTTGCTTACACAATACAATTTACAGATTAAGGGATGTTTTCCTTCCTCAGCTCATATAAAAGCCCAAGTTTATATAAGGTATTCTCTGTCTTCCAAGATACGACCCACAACAGTCGGCTAACACTGAGGTATAAGGTAATACGCCCCTATCTCCAGGATCGAATCCGGGTCCTTCGACTGTGAGCCGAACTAGACTGTGGTGCAGAACGAGCTACCATGTATCTACATGCACCTAGAAGGTTAGCTGTATTATTGATCTTTGAAATACTTAGAGGAACTCGAAGAGAGAATAACCATCCAAGCGGCGAACTTTGGGTAAGTTGGATGACTATGTTATTAATCATTCAGAATAGTTGAAATGCTAAAATAATTTTTCTTTATGTTTTGTTTTTATAATATTCAAAAGCAAACGCATTTCAATGAAATTATAAAAAACACATAAAAATATTGTGTCAGTATGTCTTACTTCAGATCTCACTATTCGTAACTTCAGTTTTTATGAAAGCTGTAGTCAAACAAACTAATCTTGCACATTATAATTTGCCGAAACTGAAAGAATGCAAGCCACCCACCGGATATCCAATACTCACGATTGGGGTCATTCTCGGCAATTCTGGCCTTGAGTTCATCCTCGTCGAAGGCCTGACCGAGAGTGTTGAGGATGTTGACAAACTTGTTACACTCGACGTAGCCCGTCTTGCCCTGGTCAAACATCTGGAACACCTTCTTCATGGCTGACGGAAGCGAGGAAGTCAGAGGTTACAGAAGGAAATGAGGAGAGCCTGTTAAATGCGAGGGGTATTTAATGCATTTGAAATAGTTTCTTGTAGTCAAGACTTCAACGTCATATTTTCTGTAAATTATTTAAATCTGATGGTAGTACTGAATTTTAGATTTTGTGCTTAAGGAAAATATTCACTGCCTTAGGTGAGTGGAATTAATTTTATTTACTCTGACTCACGAGACTTCTGGTTATATTCATTATATGATAACTGTACAGCTGGCTCTAACCTCTGGTGAAAGATGTCAGTCAACTTGGTGTCTTGTTACCATCTATAATCACATTTTATTTTTATTTTCTGAAGCGCTAAACCCATATAGGTCATTCAGCACAAAAACTGGTGGAGGCTCCGTCTTCCATGAATAAGCACAAGGTACTCACTCGTCTTTTCCAAAAAACAGAGTAGTAGAAGTGTGGGGGGAACAAAACTCGTTCATTAACTGTGTGGTAGCACCAACAAGGTGTAGATTAGGTCATTTATTTGGAGTTCAGGACGTTTATTAAGAAAAATGGTTTGCCACGAATGGCTTCATCAGTTCTAATGTTCTGACACTCCTAAAAAATTGTCGGTGGCGTTGATACAGTATCTTATGATTATGTTGTATATGAACGTTTATTGTATGTGTAGTAAATGTGAACGTCTTTTTATTTATATCTGTGTATATGAACGTCTGTTATGTGTTAGTATACGTGAACGTTGCTTGTGTGAACGTTCATTGTGTAGTTCGTGAACGCTTGTAGTATAAATGGTGCATGTGAACGTTTGTATGTGAACTTTAGGAGAAGTTCTGTATGTGTAGTATTCATAAACCCTTGATGTATGTGAATGATCTTGGAATCAGTATAAGAAGTTAACTAATTCAGAAACCTAGAGATTCAAGGGAGCTAGAAATCAATACACAAATGTGCGGAGAGAGAGGAAGAAAGAAATTTTGTAAAGGGAAACACTAGAAATAAGTTGGGTAGAGCCAAGTGTTATAAAATTATTGAAAAAAAAAGTATGACTAAAGTGAATTAAACTCTTAGTAAATAAAAACTGCTAAATGCTACAAAAAATTGGTTTACGGACTGCACATTCAAGTATATCAACTTTGTTAAGTTATTATTAAGTTATTAAAGAATGAAATGGATGGACAGATTGTATTTATCTAGACTAAGAAAGTTTTTAATAAAGTTTTCCATGAAAGACTAATTTGGAAACTGAAAATATAGGAGAAATTTGATAAAAAATATTACATTGAATGAGAGACATTTTG